TGGGTAGGAAGGAAAATGACTCGTGTAGATAGGGAAGAAAATGATTGGTGTAGACAGGGAGGGAAATGACTGGTGTGGACAGGGAGAGAAAATGACATGACTGGTGTAGATAGGGAAGAAAATGGCCGGGGTAGACAGGGAGGGAAATGACTGGTGTAGATAGGGAAGTAAACGACTGGTGTAGTTAGGGAAGAAAATGACTGGTGCAGACAGGGAGGGAAATGACTAGTGTGGACAGACGAGAGACTCACCCGTCGGCGGGAATGTCGCGGAGCTGCAGCGCCATCTTGGCCAGCTGTATCTTGAAGGAGGGGAAGTTCTCGTCGTCCGCAAGGTACGAGTCTAGCTTGACCTCCTTGCGGTGCGCCTCGCGGATGGCGCGCTCCTCCTGCTTGCTGCGCTGCGCAGCCGAGTGCGGAAAGTTGCCGCCGGCGTGGCCCTGGCCGTTCTGGTGGTGCTGTGGCATGTCGCCGCCGATGTTGCGCGTCATCTTGGCGCTGCCCTGGCGGTAAAAGTTTCCTCCCCCGCTGTAGACTCGGCCCGGCATCTTAGTGGTGGTCCTCCATCAGGGCTGACGAGACAGGGGGTTGAACAGGAGGCGGGAGAAAAAAGATCCTACCTAGTTCCGAGTCGGTGTGGAGGAGGAATATCGGTGGACGGGCACGAGGGTAAGGGATACAACAAACAACCTTAAAACACCTCAACGTGTCTTCTTGGACGAAAAACAAAACAAAATACACACACACACTGGGAATAGAAGTGTATCACACAACAAAAAAACAACTCTTCTCCTCTAGCCGTGGGGGAAAAACAATTCAAAATAAAAACAAAAGAACAGCTGCTGACAGTGGTGAAAGTTGAGGGCGGTTGAAACGTCCAAAGATGGCGTCACGTTCGTGTGGGGTGAGTAAGCCAACACCTTTCAGTGTGAGTATGTAAAGAGCCAAGTCTTTGTCCTTTGTCAGAGGGGGAACTAAGCCAGCAGGTAGGACTCTTTCGTCGGGTTCTCCTTGAAGCAATATCCAAAAACAGTGCTGAATGAAAAAGAGCCAAATTGTCTTGAGATCTGAAACGACAACACGAGTACAGATTAATAATAGCAATGACTTTAGTTCCAACAACTGAATATAAACTTCATGTTTTAATCCGAAAACAGAGCTATACTGCCCCCCCATATATAAAACATACAAAATCTTCCATAAAACGAAGTCTCGTGGGTGCACGCAAGGCGAAGAGTCTAATCATACATGTGCAATAATTACGCAACGGATGCATGTACAAAGAACTGAGATGATAAAGTGTGTTAGAAAGAAAGAGAAATATGAACCACCTCCACCTCCCTCATTTTTGCACACACAATCAAAACGACAGGTAGCCAACTTATAATAGAAAAAGAATAGACACCCTCCTCCAAAAATTCTATTCTCACTTTTTTAAAAGACAGTAGTGCAGGTTTGGGGGACAGAGAAGTGTGATTTATGCTGCCCTGCATGTTTTAGATAAAAAAAGAAAGCGGAGCTCAGCATATTAATTTTTTTCTTTCTTTCTTTTTCTAGGGGGAGGAGAGGGATGGATAGGTGGAAAGACATTACAACAGTGACCTTGGAGGAAGTGTTGTTGTATTCTGGTTGAATGTGTTGCAACTATTTCTGGTCACCCCCCCCCACACACACACACACACAACCACCCCTCACCCACACACACACACACACAACCACCCCTCACCCACACGCACAACCACCCCTCACCCACACACACACACACACACGCACAACCACCCCTCACCCACACACCCCGTCGACCCTTCATACCAAAAAAAAAAAACGCCTAACACCATCAAGAAGGCCTCAAACCTCAACTATTTCAAGCTGATTTACTACTTTATCATATTCCTTTTGTGCCCTGAGCTTATAGCCCCGAAAGGTGGGGACACAATCCCGCGCCACTAACCAACTTCTGGTCCCCCCTCCACTTCTTCTTTCAACTGTGGGGGCTATTTAGAAACCTTAATGCCCCATGGGACTTAACAGGCCGTAAACAGGGGTACGCGTTTCGGACAGGTTAATGTCTGCACACCCCAAAGGGTGCGAACCTGTTTAGCCGCACTCTTGGCTGACTAATGCCTTGTTAACGGAGAAACGACGAACAGATTCGGTGGGGGCCAAAGTGGTTCGAAAGTATGCACCGCGCGTTTTGATCAGAGCCGTTTCGGATCTAGGGAGACGACGACGACGACGACGACGACGACAGGCTGACATTCCATGTCATGGGCAGGCCAGGCGTGACAAGGACAGAGGTATGCGGAGAGGGTTTGGGGGCCTAAAGGTATGCTTGTTTGTTGGCTTGTTTGTTGGCTTGTTTGTTGGCTTGTTTGTTTGTTAGTACATGCTGTGCTCTCAGACGAGTTTCGGTATACGTGAAGTGCTTTTATGAGGTGCTTTTTTTTACGGGCGCAGCTAGATGTGAGGGAGCACGAGATCGTGACATGTGTGTAAGG